GTCAAGAAAAACAGAGAAACACCTGGGCAGAGTGCACACCACATCAGCGGCTCCATGTGATCTCAGATGCCTGTCCCTGTGTTTCTATTCTTGGAATATCTTCCATCAGGGATATTCTCGTTGCATGGCTCACCAAATTTCAGCCCCCGCTTCCTAGACAGTCCAGGGGACTGTTGCAGAGGCTGCTGAGCCGCAGAGGCTGCGCTCTGCTGTACTGTGGGCCAATGGCTGGTAGAGATCTTTGCAGCCTTGTACCCTCATCTGAGTTGTGTGCCTCTTTGCCCCATCTTGGATGCAAAAGAAAGCTCTAGACTGGACCGCTGTAACTGCATTTCCCTTAAGCAATCTCTAGTATAGCATTAAAAATGCACATGATGCCCTGGCTGGGTTTGCTCAGTGGTTAGAGTGCTAGCCCCTGGACCAAAGGGTCATGGGTTTGATTCCCAATCAAGGGCATGTACCTGTGTTGCAGCTTCAATCCCCGACCATGTAGAAGGCAACCAATGGATGTGTCTCTCTCACATTGAGGTTTCTTTCTCTCTCTCTCTCTCTCCCCCCCTCTTTCCCTCTCTTCCTCTCTTCTTCCCTTCCACCCTTCCACCGTGTCCAGAAAATCAATGGAAAAATATTCTCAGGTGAGGATTAACAACAACAAAAATGCACATGACCGTTCAACTCTCGTGTCCCACATGCTGTGGGCACTTGGCTCAGGAGCGGTGCCTCGCCCCCAGAGCCTGGTACGGTTCCTGGCAGATAGTGTGGGTCTGTCAGTATTTGCTGAATGGAACTGAAGAACCGCTGGGATGGAATTGATGGGAAAATTTTAAAATCAGGCAAGGGGTATAATTCAATCTTCCTTCATATTTTTTTCCCTTCTCAGTCTGAAAAGACTGCAGATTTTGTTGTTGGAGAGGAATTGAAAATATGAAAATTACATGTGAGGAAATCTACACAGCTGTTGATTTTTGAAGACTGAACTTTTCCAGCCTGTGTACTAGATAAATTATGAGATCTCTCTCTTTTCAAGGAATAAGTTAATTGTCTTAGACAAACTATGAGCAACACAATGTAAATTAATAGAAGCTCACTGAATTGACTGTGTTTTGAGTCTCAAAAAAACTAAAATTGGTTTAAAAAAAAGCTCAGGGTGTCATAATTTTGACAGATTTCACTGGTTGGATAAAAACGTCTAAAAATAAAATAAAAGTGTCACATGCTATGGGAGCATAAAAATTAAAAAGTGATTTCTTCTGGGTGAGACAGGATAAATAAAATATAAATATAAAAAAAATTCTCCTGCAAACACTTCTAGGGTCATAAAGTTGGAATAGTAAAGAGACATGAAATATTTGACTAAAAAAAAACTTATCTTTGAAGTTAGCATACTCTCCTAAAGAAATACCAAAACCCACATTTGGGGTTTTTAAATATATTATTTTAACCAAGCAGCCAATTTTATTATTTTCAGGCTATTTCACACGTGCCGTGTACTGGAAAGCACATACCCTCCATCAATCATATACCCTTCATCAATCGTCAGCTATCAGTGGCTTAGACCTTCCGCTATTCCTCATGTTCTAGAATCAGTAACAGTTAATGTGTGTATTTTCTTATATTAAACAACATGTCCTTTGGTCTGCTATTAATCCTCAGAAGAATTCAATGAAATTGTAGATATACCTATGTTGGGCATGCTTGATATTTGGGTAGTTTGGGCTTGTAAATTGACAATTTCAAGTTAAGAGTACTTGGTAGTCTTGTAATTGAGCCCAGACCAGACGCTTAGAGCTTGTAAGAGGTTTAAATGTGAAAATAAGCATTAAAAAATCCTGTTAGAGAAGGACTTCAAAACCTGTCAAAACTGCACTGCTAATGGTGCTGTAGTAAAACATGTCCCCGAGCACACACTGGAGGCGAGATTGAGCGGAAGGTTTTACAACTGCCCGGAAGGATGTTTCTACCAGGACACAGGCAGCAGCTACAAGAAGCATCTATCACATTGTGTACAAGTAGCCAAAGAGAACTTGTCCCTGATGTGGGTATTCCAGACATGATTCTTAGTTTAATATAGTGGGAGTTCGTACCTGTTACCAAGGAGGCCATAACCAAATCCTGGGAATGGACAAAAATTATTCTCACCTGCAATGAAGATTGACCTTATACCTACTTTATGTCAAGTATCTTAGAGTATTTATAAGAAGGCATGTTATCTTTTGGCACCAGATATATTGCAAATACGCTACCACTACCAGTTTGGCAGATTGATGTTACAAGTACTTAAACAACCTGCCAAAAACTCCACAAAGAAGGTTTTTGAGCAGCTAACAACCCAGAAAAATGAACAGTTAGAGACCTAATAGGATTACAAATAAATGAACATCTAAGTTGAAGAAGAAAGGACGGCGTGGAGACCAGCCAGCGCTGAAGCCAGAGGACGAAAGATCAAGCAATTCTCTACAAGGGGAGAGAGAAAAGTAGAGTGGAAAGGTTAACCAAAAACGGACAAGGTGTTCTTTCCAAAGAAAATTCCTGATTGGTGTGTATTATATAAACAAATGTGCAAAGGTATATTCCAGAAAGCTGGTTTAAGATATAAATGTTAGTTTACAGGTTCTCAGTTTCAGGGAGAATATTAGATCCACTCCAAGTGCTTTTTGGAGAGAAAGTCTTTTCCACCCCATCCCCACTGGTGGAGGGATCAGGATCCCAAGGGGAAAGGAATTTAATGTTGAAAGTTTTCTTCTGGGGATTCTGATTTCCTGCCCAGAGTTGAGATCCACATGTTTAGTTGGTGATTTACTGAGTCTGTGAAAAGATCAGAGCACATACGATAAAACTACCTAACTGAAGAGGGACCCCATTCATATATTAGACTCAGTTGGGACCAATGTCTGCCTCCTAATCCAAAGAACCCTAGAATGAGGGTCCATTTAGTACAGGAAGAAGGGGAAGGGGTTCCGTGCCAAGATTTTGGCAGATGAGAGAGAGCATTTCTCCAGATTGGGAACCAGTATCACCAAGATCTTGGTCTATCCCAAAAGGGAATTTCCTGATATCTGCACAGATTTCTTTTCTTTATTTTTTACTGGAGAAGGACCTAAAAGATCAGATAAAGCTGAGAATGAAAATTCAGAGGGGTTGTCCTGGCTTGAGGGGAGAGAGGTCAGGCTGAGGGCTTTCAGCTGTCTGACAGCTCTGTGCCTCAGGCCAGGCCACAGTAAGTGACAGGGCCACCTGGGTGCTGCTTCTCAAGTCCTACTGGCTCTTCAGAAGGGACAGGCTGAGGTGGGGTAGGGTGGGGCTGGAAGGGAGGGTTAGGTGGTCAGGGGCATCTCCAGCTAATCAATGTACTTCAACGCTGGAGGAGGATGGGTTGGGCCTGGGCAAAGAGCCAGGAATGGGCACTGTCAAAGGATACCTTCTAGGAGTTTCACCCCTGCAAGGAATCATTATGTAATGTGGATGTTTCAGCACAGAGGTGGAGGAGGGAAGCGGAGGAATCCCAGCCTCCTGCCCTGGAGGGAGGAAGGACGGCACTTGGCCTTGCAGGTGGTGGGCTTCTCAGGTCCAGGTGCCTGGAATCCCTGCCTCCTTCCTGGTTGCTCGGGGCCAAGGAGGTCTGGTTAGAGGCTCAGTTCGAAGACCTTCTCCCCCAGGCACCGTCTGTTCCCACCAGCCCCGTCATCGCGGAAAAAACGCTGCCTCTGCTGTTAGCTCTGTGCCTTCATCGGGCACATATTAGTGACCTTGTGTTCACAATTGCCCTTTCTTTCCGTCTGCTGTGCCTTGACCATCCCCACTGGGTCCTAAACTGGGTGCATGTCCCCAGATCTAAGCATGCACTGAAAGGCAGGACAGCTTCCTCCTCAGTTTATTCCCTAAATCCGTGACCACCGGGAAACATTTCTTGTCAGACTACGCATTGCATGCCTTGGTTTCTCCCCCCCATCAGCCCAACTTTCCCTCACTGCTCACTGTCCTTGTCGTATAAACAGTGTGAAAGCCAGTTTCTGTCGGGTTTTGAGATGCCTACAGAGGTCTGAGACCAAAGCGTCCCCCTATTGCAATCGTCTTTTTTTCTAATTAAAGTATCTTCGTGTCTTGATTTTGTTGTTGCTGGTGTTCGGGTGTCGCCAAGCCGTGATCCCAGGTAGGTCTGATCCTCCGCTGGTGGGACTGAAGTCTTGGGGGTTTCAGTCTCTCGGGAAAGGCGAGAGGCCTGAAATGCACCACTCTTTCTTAAACTTCAACTTTTCCAAAGGAGCCTATGAATTTCTAAATGAGGAGGTTCTAGGCTTGCGCTATAGGGGCCACCGGCTGGGCAGGGGAAGACGGACTGAAAAACAGTTGCCATCCCAGCTAGGGGCGAGGGGTGCGCGCCGGCACGGTTTGGGGGAAAACCAGGAGTGAGGGATGGGACCGGCGGGGGCGTAAGTGGCAGGTGCGCGAAAAGTTCCTGGAAACCCTGTTTTCGTGGGCGAGCGCGGGGCGGGGGAGGTGCCAGTGGTCTCCCAGCCTCCGCAGCCTGAGGTCGTGGAGCGGCGGCCGCGGGGACTCCAGCCGCCGCCGCAGCCGCCGCCGCAGCAGTGAGCGGGACGGAGTTAGGACCGCTCGGAGCGCTCAGGTCTCGGGTAGTGTAAGGTTTGCAATCCTTCCACTTGCTGCCAGTTGCAGAAGAAGATCCGCTTTTAAGTGAAACGTACACACCACCCCTCCGCCGGCTGCGGCTTCCCGGGGCTTGCTCCTGCCTCTCTGGCGTCCCCCGCCCCGCGCCCACTCCTGCGCTTGCACGCGCCCCGAAGTTTGCCCGGAGCTCGCCGGCCGCTCGGAGCAGGGTCCGGCCGGGGGCGGCGGGCGGGCGTGCGGGCGGGCGGGGAGCCAGGCACCGCGATCCAGAAGCGTCGCGGGCCATGTATATTTCATCAAATGGACTTTGGGTGCGTCGCGTCTCGCAGCCATCAACGCGATGTGCAGTGACATTTCTGACTTGAGTGGAGGAATGCGCGAAGGAAGCCCGGGCGGAATTGGTACTAAAGGATCTTGGCGCCAATGCTAATTGTCCTGATTTATGTCCCTTCGGACTAAGCTCAACGTCTTCATCTGGAATAAAATGAAAGCTTTGCCAAGCAGGGTAGAACCGCCGGGCTGCTGGCTCTGATCCCCGGGAATCAGGAATCGTCCAGCAGCTTAACAAATTTTTTAAAAAGGGGGGGGAGGGATAGAGAAAAAAAAATCAGAAATAGGAAAAAAATATCCCTCCGTAAAAGTTTAAGGCGAGAAGTGGCAGAGGCAGTGCGGGGAGGTGCGGAGGAGAGCCGGCAGGCGGGGGACGGGGCTGCGCGACCTCCCGGAGGCTGCGATTCCGTTATTAATATCACCCGATTTTTGGAGGGAGAGGCACCTTTCCGGTCCTCGCTTCCTCTCCGCCCACCCCGCTCCCTCTTCCTCATCTACCTGTCAAAGTCACTGATCTTTTGCATTTCGGAAGAGGACGTCAACGGGAAGGAATTCCCCCGTCTCGGCCAGGACTCCGAGAGGGGGCGACGCGCAGGAGGCTCCCCCCAGGGGCGCGGAGGAGAAGGTAATTAAGCGGCGGGGAGTGGCGGGCCGGCGCGGGGCTGGGGCGCGCGGAGTCCTCTCCCGCGGCGGGCCAGGCGCAATCGGGAGCCCGGGGCGGCGGCGGCCGCCGCGGGTCCACACCCCGCCCCTCCCGCTGCGCCCGAGCTCCCCGGGAGGCTCGGCGGGAGCCGCCACCGCCTGGCGAGCGCCACCCGCGGGCTCTGCCGCCGAGGCCGCCGCCCGAGGTGCACCAGGCTGGGCAGGGCTGCCGCCGGGTGCCGTCGGCTCGGCTCCCGCGGGCTCCAGGGTCATCGGGCCACACGGTGAGTGCCGCGGCGTCCCCTCCTTCGGCCCCTCTCCCCCTCGGCTGCCACTCCCTCCCACCCCGCTGTGCCCGCCGCCGGCTGGAGGCGAGGCTCCGGGTGGGCGAGGAAGTTTGCAAAGCGCGGGAGGAGGCAGCGTGCGGAACCCCTGCGCGAACACACCCGCGCACTCCCACCCCCACACTCGGGTCCGGGTGTGCGCCCCAGCAGGGGACGCGGGTTGTATCCAGCGCCCGGACGCGGGTTGTGCCTCCGAGGACGGACAGACTGGCCGGCACACAGCGCGCTCCATCTCCATAGACCTGACCACACACCACACCACGCACTGAAGGGTCCTTCTTTTTTTTTTCTCCCTTCCTTTCACCAGTTGTATTTGCTTTGGGGCTGGGGGCGGGGTGGGGGCGGGGAGGAAACTTGCCCTCTTGCCGGCCCTTTGCAGCCGGTGTTTCTACTGATTGCTTTGGAAGTTCCCTTCATTTAATTCCCTTTATTGGTGCGAGGTTAAAGCCTTACTATCCCGCGTTGTGCAGCTTGGCAGAAGGGAAAATTCAAAAAGGGAAGGACTTGGTGTAGGGATGCTGTTTGGAACATTTTCCCAGCTTCTTTACTGTCATTGCATTAATCGGTTGATGGATCCGGCTAGGGACAAAGAATTGCTCTCCGGTATGCATCTGTGGATATCTATATATAATACAAATAATACTGAATATTATTGGGCCAAAATAACCAATTAAGTGAGTCATACACGGGAAAACTTGGACCAAAAAAAAGAAACTGCGCCCTCTGCTGTTTATTTTAGTAACATCACCTGGGGACACTTTTTATTTTCTTCCAGAAATCCACTTAGGAGGTTGTCATTTTAAGGGGCAAGGGAGGAAAATTCCTAGCGGGGACTTTAAAGCAGCTTTATGTGGCAGAGTTGGAGGGTGTTTCCCTATAGTGCAGATTTCCAGAGAGTGGAGGCTTTTCTCTCCATCCCCTTCCCCATTCTCGTGCCCCCGGGAAAGGAAATGGAGCCTCTCCTTTTCAGTTTGTCAATCTTCCAAATGGAAAAGTCTAAGATTAAGCATTTCTCTAAACATATAGTATATCTGGTAGCAGCTTTGCTCTAGAAATAGGGCCCTATTTTATGACTGAAAATACCGTTTTCTTATCTTACAGAAAGGAAAAAACAAACAAAGACCTGACAACAAAACCTTTTATTTAAATATACTTAATGGATAAAAGCTTCTTAGAAAAAGTTTTCCAGACATTCTTTTTTTCGGAGCAGGGGCAAGTTTGGGGATTTGTGTAGCTCCTGAAGAGTATGTCTAACCCCTGGGGAATGAGCAGCCCCCTTGGTTTCATTGAATATTTTGAACTGTGTCCCTTTGAATGCCTAAGGTGCCCCAGCCCCTTTCTCTGGCAAAAAGATAAAAAACAAACAAACAAACAAAAAACAGCAGCTCCGTGACTGTCCAAGATTCTCTTGGAAGATAAGCAACTTTGAATCTTTACATGTAGATCACAATCCAAAGAAAAAAAATGCCTTTCATGTTCCTATATATCATGTTCTCCCAGCTTCCAGACATAAGGGGTGTATTTCCTTTCCTTTTCTGGATGTCATGAAATTAAAGACGAACAGGATGGCATTCAGAATGCCATCTATTTGTCTGTTGATTTGGTGATACTTCCTAGGGTGGAATTTAAGTGGGAAAATCTTAAAATGTTGTAAGAAAAGACTTTATTTGCACTATTGCGATGTGTGTTTTGTCAGCTTTCCCTGGGCATGTGAGTAACAGTGGTGCAGGCTCACTTTTGTAGGAGGAGGCCAACAATGTGTCTTACAGTGTCCTTCGGTGTATTTATAATTGGAGCAAAAACCTGTCTCTGCTTCTGTTATTGTTCTGGGAAACAAAATTAGGTATTATGCTTTAAAAATTAAACGGTTACACATTTAGTTGATATGTTTTCTAAGTGTAAGATTTTAGGAGACAGTTTTAGTTACAGAAGCCCCAAGTTTCTCGAAAAGAAATAAAATTTCATTCAAGTCAAAAAGTCTTTTATATGTTCATAGAAAAATGTGTGTGTGTGAAGTGTATTTTAGATCAGTAAGAGATTTAGCATACTTTAAAAAATAATTTTATCTTCAGAACCCGGAGTTTTGTTCCAGAACTTCAGGTGGGTGTAGAATTCCTCAAATGTGTTCTTTAGGCCTTGGTTCTCTGGATCCCCTACAGGAGAAGGAAAGACTTGTTCCATGGTAATGAAACAACAGATTTCTTCTAGGCTTAACTGATTCTGAAATGATTTCACGAGTTATCCCATCTTCTAACATCCTGCCAAATATATGCTGTCTAATTTCTCTAATCAGTCTTCTGCCGGTGAAAGCAAAGACTCTTTCCAATACTAAGGTGTGCTGTTTGGTTTTATTAAGAATCTCATGATAGGCAGTTGCTTGTAAGCCCAATCAAATATGAGTAAAAAAAAAAAAAAAAGCCAATCACATTGCAGAACATGTTAATTTTTTTATATTTTGAGAGACAGTTAACAAAAGGAGAGAAGCAAATGTTTCCCATGAAGATGGCAAGAAAATACTCTCTTCACAGCCAATAAATGAATGCAAAGAACATTCAATATATATTAACTACTTAATCTAGTTAAGCTCATCTGGACTGTGTTGGAAGCTGCTAATTTTGATAGGTTTTGGAATTTGTATATATCATTATCTCTTTATATTTTTCATTCAGTGGAATATGGAAATAGTATTTTTGTCCCTTCCCATTCAGAAACAAGCATATGTATAAAATCCTTAATGTCTATGAGTCAATAACTATCTATTTCAGGTGCCCCAAAGAGCTGAGTATTTATGAAATAAATACCCTACAAGCCACACCCCACCTCTGAGCAAGAGTATATAATAGAACGAGTGTGGAAAGCCAGCTAGAGCTTGTGGTTTCACTCAGTATTTTTCTCTCAGTTGATGAAATCGGCAATTGGTTTTGGAATATAATTGTCCGTAATTTGTATCGTTATTACTCCCATGTAATATTTTGGGAAGACTTATTTTCCGCTGAAAGAAAGGGCCCGTGAACTACCTTGTGCAGAGTTCATCCTGGGAGGAAGGGAATTGGCTACAGAACCCTGGAGAAAGATAACGTCCCACATATGCAAAGCCATTTGATAGCCCGTTTTAGTCCAGATCAATAGCATCCATCAACTTGAGGACATGACATAATTTTACATTTTTATGTTGGTGCTGCAAATGTGTGCACCAGTCCGAGGCCTCGGAAGTACTCACAGCGTGGTAATGGGTGTTTTCATCGGGAGACTTCTCGGTGCTCTCGTGCACAGGTAGCGGTGCTGGCAACGTTTGCCTTGTGGCGAGTTCCCACGGTGTGCAAACTGGAGAGCCGGAGGTGGGCTGCCTGGAGCGCTCTGGAGGGCGACAGGAGGTGATGGCACACCTCAGACAGACTCCCGGCCCACGTCACTTGGCAGTTAGGCCCGTCATGGGCCAGCAGGGATTAGTTCAGTACATTGGGTCCCCAAATATGTCATTGACTGTCCTTCTTGTAAACGGTGTGCCTAGCTATTTGCTGTGATGACCTAGCTTTTAAGGAGCTACCAGCGATTCCATCCTGGCTGAAGGCATAGCCAGATGGGGACTGTGCCAGTAGGTAAAAATTGACATAAAAAAAAAAATGTTTTTACATTGTTTTGATTTCATTGAAAACTCCATAATTATACTTGAGTAGAAAATTCCTGGTTTTGACAGAGGCTCTTTGCCACTGTGTGCCATAAAAGTTCATAGCTTCAATTTTCTACTAATTTTATATCCATTGGTTAAAATATATTCAGAGGATTTTCTTGGACGTGTCTGTAGCACCGAAAAGGAAGGGAACCCCACTATGAAGGGTATGTCCTGGGTGACGCACACCACACATCTAAAATATGAGGATGGAATCAAATCATCATGTTTAAGAGCAGCTTTGCAAGCCTCCTCTCCTGACCTCTAACCTGCCGTGGTCGATATCATTTTCTGTGTCAATGGGAGCTCATTAAATGTAAATCCTGCAGCCCGACCCAGCCATGCCATATTAGTGCTTGCCAAGGCTTGACATTTTTAATACATTAATAGTACGTCTGTAATGTAATGGAAAACTATTAATCACGACTGGTTATGTGCCAGAAATATAAGCTATAATTGGCTGCTGCTTGTCAGGAACGTCTGTTGCGCAGGCTGCAAATGCGTAATATTCCAATGCCTAGCCCTGCTCTGCATTTTCCCTTGTCACTTCTCCAGGTTCGATCGACGGTCCAGTCCATAATTCTGGGTAATGGCCATCGTTATCATTCTGGTATAGTTTAATGAGAATCCGTTAGTTACAGTGGGATGGCTGTTGGGTCAGGAACTAGTCATAGGTTCACATACACTTCCTTCGTGTCCAAAATTTTCACGTACATATGTACGGTCACCCTTTATTTCGTGGTGGCAGGAAGGCCACATGCGGATAAAGACAGTAATCAGGAATAAATGGATTAGTGGGAGGGTCACAGCCATTGGTTTAGAAAAAAGTGAGGATTAATCTCAGGGAGAATTCCAATGTATACTTGGGGTCCTATCTTAAAAATAATGTTAAGAATTAACTCCTAATGCTTAGTCAGTTCAGAGCCATTGCCATTCATTTCAGGACTCAAGACTACATTGTCTTTGGCAGATACGTTGCTGTGTATTTGAAGAGAAAAACTGAAGTTAGTAATTTCTGGTCCTAGTGGATTTTCTAGGGCTTCCGTTGTAATACCCCCTATGCACCGCATGGAAATGCTGGTTCTGGTTCTAATAAAATAGCAAATGCCTTTGCAGCTAGAAAATGTACTTTTTTTGTACTGCTTTAACACCTTTTTGGATTATTACTTGTCAAATTGGTAGATGTTTCTGAAAATATCAACTTACATATACTCATGAATCTGAAAAATGACACACAAAAACAGAAGGCCGTAGTAGCCACACCACGTGCTCCTCTGTGATGTTTTTCTTTTTAGCTTAAGGTTTCAAATCATGCTCAACACAGTGCCGTCTTTACGTTGCAAGGGGGAGGCAGATTCAAATCGGTAGTTGATCCATGTTTAGACAAACTGCTAATTATTGCTTCATAGGAACTCAGCTATTCCACTTTTCCTAATAGAAAATATCACCATTTGCAGCTGTATGATAACATTTTATGAATGGGGTATAATGAAAATTGTACTTGCATCCATAAAGCAATTATTATAAATTACTTTGCTATGGAAACACAATTCAGCCATCTGCTGGCATTTCATAGTTTCTGTGGCTGAGTTCATTTTAAGATGTTGCATTAGTTAAATATAGTGGATTCCTTTATGAGAGTGTTTGATCGTGAACGTCCATATTTAAACTGCTTCCTATGAATTGAAGGGTCTCTAATGCTATTTTCTGGAACTCTGGCCTTCTTGTCCTTTTTCAGTGGTTTAAAGATAATTAATGGGACTATGACAACATGGACCAACTAATTAAGCAAGTACACTTTTTGAAACATGGAATCAAAATTTTATCATTTAGATAGGGGCTGTGATCTCCAAAGAGAAAAGTTGCCAGTTAAACTCACCGATGACTTACACCCATAGTTATGGAGGCTGAATTATCAGTTAACCAAGGGTATTTTTAAACAGTCACTTTTATTTTCTCTTAGAATTAGTGCCATATTATTTTGCTTCATGGCCTGTTAACTCACCCTCGGCTGTTTTTAAATGTGCATTTTAAACTGTGCGTTTTACTACAGAGCTTTTAGTTTTAAAGCGGCATATAATATTCACCTTCGGGACAAATTCTCTTCTCTTTCAGAAAGTAACTACAGATGTGTATGTCATGTCCGTAAAGAGATATAAGAGAATAGAGAATTCTTATGAAAGGAAAATGTGTTCCTTCAGTTTTATTTTGAATGTTTATTTTCAGAGCACCAAATTATCTTTATGACTAAATGCAACCAAACAAAAGATGCCCAGTGTTTCTGATATAATGGCCAACTCCAAAGGGGCCGGCTGGTGCTAACAATGACAGTTTTCACTCCGCTCACAAAAAGCTAAGAAATGTGCAAGGAATTTGGAAATTTTCAGGGTCTCTGCCAGGAGACAAAAGGCAGACAAGCAGCTGCCACTTCTTGGTCATGTTGTGAAAGCACTTGCCTCCTTCATTGTTCTCCTGGAAGACTTTCCAGCCTCCCACATCTGATACATGCTCCAGTCGGCTCCTTGCTCCCAGTTTGGTCAAGATGGAAACAGAGTTTTCAAAGCGAAAACCTGTAACTCACCTAGAACACACACACACGTTTCTTGGTTACATACAAGAATTCAATCCTTCATATGGAAATTCTCTCCAATGGCAATGATTTCTGTGGTCTGCTCATTCTAGCAAAACAGCTGAGTCAGCGTGACCCGTGGCCCACTAGCTGAGTCAGAGTGACCCATAGCCCACCAATTTGCTTTACATAGCATCCAGCCTCCCCAGTGCCAACCTCTCCTACCTCTGGTCATGTGTTGATTCTGGGTCAGTAACTCTTATTCTTATTGTTTCTAAAGGGGTGTTGGTGCCAGCAGAAGAGAATGACTGATGGGAAACAGACACCAGGCTAGAGACATTCACCGTTTTGCTTCAGATCCTGACATCTGAGTGCGTCTGAGCAGCCCCTGTGAACTTGGAACGCCCAGGATCTCCCAGGGTTATTGGATGCACAGCCAGAGAGCCCTCCTTTGCTGAATCATCATCTGCAATTGGACATCTTCTACAAAACCAAACCAGACCCCAGTCCAGTGGCTATGCCCTAGGACAGGGAACAGCCCGCTGCTGCCCATGCCCACCGCACCAGTCAGTTAGCCTTTAGCCTCCCACCAAAGTTCTCACTGTCCCTGAACACGCACGGTATCTCAGCCCTTCACGTTCAGTTTCGAAGTGACTTTGAGGTCTCATCCTCTTTTTTTAAAACATACAGCCCTACCTACATGTAGACATCTATGTATGTAAAATAGGCACAGACCACCGCTAAGCAAGCCCTGCGTCAGTGACCGCGCGGATTGCCAAGAACTTAGAGATGTATTTGTCAAGATTCCTGTCCATTCACGCCCTTTGGGTCACGGTGTCGTCAGTGATGCAGCCCTACCCGCTGGTGTGGGGACATTATGACGTGTGTAAGACTCAGATTTACACGGAAGAAGGCAAAGTGTGGGATTACATGGCCTGTCAGCCGGAATCCACGGACATGACCAAGTACCTGAAGGTGAAACTGGACCCTCCCGACATCACCTGTGGAGACCCCCCTGAGACGTTCTGTGCAATGGTGAGGCAACCCTTTTGAATAGAATATTTCATAGAAGTGGGGCCTGTGGTGGATACAAACGAGGGGAGTCAGAGACGGCTCCTGCAGGGGCTGGCTGGGGGCGGATCCGGGCCCCAGGCAGACGTGTGCCGTCAGGATGCACAGCGCGGTGCGATGGAGGCTCTGGACCTGCCTCCGCCTTCCACAGGGTTCACGGAGACCAGGGCACCGTATGTAGTTATCGAAGGAGACATCCAGCTGAAAGTTACATTTCAGATTGGCGAGGGGGTCTGATTAGGCCGTATATGATATGCTAGGAAAACCTATGGGCAAACCAACTTCAGCGACAGAGGTTTCTTCCTGTAGAGATGGAAGGCTGGCCCCAGGTTTCACAGTTCGAGGCTAGAGTAGATGTTTCCTGGTCAGGAAACTGCTGTGATTTGGAAATCTCTGGGTAGGAGACCAGTGAGAGACGCAGAGGGGAGAGGAGCTGTGCACCCTGGGAAGCGTCCGTATGTCAGTTCCTACAGCCCCGTATTTTCAAGGGCTGCGGTTTTCCATGGGTTTTTTAAAGATGAACTTTGGAATGTTGGAAACATATCTGCTGAAAGGTAATGGTGCAGAGCCTACAAATGCAGGTATGGTAAGTCCTCACCTAACTTCATTGACAGGTTCTGTGACTTTAAGGAAACAACGTATAACAAAACCAATTGTACATCAAGCTAATTGATACAAACAGGAGTCCAGTGCTTCTGGTATCTCATCAACACTGTAACTAGACAACATTGAATGAAACTCTGTTATTTGAGGACCTGCTGTGCTCTCCTCTGGATGAGCAAAGTTATGAAATTCATTGTTTTCACTGTGTAACTGAGCCTTTTTCCTGGGTGGAAAAGTACATGCTATGTGAAGAGGTAGCATTGGAGTGACGCACTGAATTTTCATAGGGACATTGCTGAAAATATCCCTATAAGGTATTGTGTAAGAGTTTGGTGATTAAAATGATGTAAATCAATGTGCTAAGGAATTTAGAAAGCATGTTCGTTTGATATAGGTCATTTTTTTTTTTTGGTCATGGGGGGGGGTCTTCATTCGATATAGGAACTGTGATTCCATTTTTCATGTAACTGATACAGTCGTATGGCAGATTTTAATAGTATTCTTACCTGACTTTATTATCCTGAACCTGGCCAGGCATTTTCAGGATAGTGAAACTATTAATCAAAGTAGCATCTGTTCACAGTCCCCGGTGAGTTGAATTAGCATAAGATCATCCTAGACCGGTGCTGGAGAATAGGTTTTGCAAGAGGAAACGATTCTGAGCAATAAAGAGTGTTTTCACCTAAAAGCTAAGGGCTTGCCATTTTTCAGAAGTACCCTTGGGGACTGGTTTGAATTATAGTCTAAACCTGATTTTGTGGAGAGTGAGAAAAAGAGCTTGGCGATTAGGTGTCACTGTGACTAAAGTGCCCTGAAAGACTAACCGTTTCGAAGAGAGGACCCATGTCTCTGGGAGGTGGGCAGGCATGCACTTTGCAAAGTTTCGTCTTATAAACCAGAGACTTCCAGGAGAGGCGTGTATTCAAACACGTTAGCAAAATGACAATATGTCTGTGAAAAGAGCAGGGGTATTTATGGGCTTTGTCTGAGGCCTTTAATCATCTCTCATCAAAGGTCAGATTTAAGAAGTCATTGCTAATCTGGGGAAATTGACAGGCTGTGCAATCTGTCACTCCTTACAGCACAGAATGAGTTCTGGGCCAGCTCTTCATGTTATTAAGCACATTCTAGCTCTATATATTGGTTCTCATGCACTTACAGCAATATGCCACTTTGGGGCTTGTTCCATAATTCACACGTCTAAGTGAAACAGAAATCTCCTGGTTCATTCGTTGGTGCTCTGTGTGATGTGCTCAGCGGTGCTCTGACTGTGCAGCTCCCCGACCCCAGCCTCTGGCACCAAGAGAGCCTGCTCAGCACTGCCCCATGTGCTCAGGGGTGTACTTGGTGTCTTCTGCACGCCCGTCTCCCATCGTGAATAGAAAGGGAATGCTATTGAACTTCTCTTCCTTGCCTTTCACACGGATGTGATCTAAGGTCCTTAACCAAGCCAGGTCCTACCAGCCTACTGGCTAAGGGATGTTAGAGACCAAAAGGGAAAAAAGAACTCAAATGATACCCCTCAGCTTCATCCCCTGAAGTCACCTATATATGTGCGAAACCCTACAGGGCAGTGTTTTTAAAAGGCTACATTTTACTAGGATGTCAATGTCTGGAAGCCTTGGTGGATTTCAGACTGTCATTGAGCTCAACTGTTTTTCAAGGGAGAATGCAAGGTTTGGGAGACGTTACCCATCAGTGCTTAATTTGGACTCCTTAATATGCATATGATTGGCATAAGAGATTTAATAATCTGTCCTATAAATACCTACTGTGGGACTATTTGTGTGCATGTCGCGTGCAAGTCAACAACAACAGCCCAGTCTAGAAGCACGTTCTCTGAGCAGGTTTGGACTTCCCATACAGCTCTTTCGTGGAAGGGCTCCTGACCCAAGGTGGTAAGGCTGCCCGGGGATGCTGTCATGCAGACCTCTTGATGGGCTCCTCCGCCCCAGGTCTGATGGGAATCCCTAACATCTGTGTTAGGACTTTCACGCTCTCCCCTCCTTGACACACGCATCCTTACCTGCTCCCTCAGAGTCGTTACAGCCCATTACGTCAGGGAGCTGCCGCTCCAGCAGCCACGGCTCAGCCCTCACATGCAAATGTTTGCTGCAGAGTGGTTTCCGTGATCACCTGCTCAGCTGTGACACCCTTATTAGCTGCGACTGGAGCAGTTCTGAGCGCCGAGGGGGCATTTGGTCAGAGCAGTACCCTGTAATTCCCACAGCCCATTTATTTCATACAAAGTTGAAGTTCATTGGCAATGCATTAAGAGTCTGTGTGCTGCATTTTGCATTTGCTTCTGCGTTCTGTGCCCTCCACGAACGCTGCATTTCCTCCAGAGCGAGTGGTTAAGAAAAAGGACCATGTGATTCCGTTTAACAATAGATCTCTGCTGATTAACCCGGGTGACCCACTTAATAACTCTTTTGTGCCTGGTGATTTTAAATTGTTGTATATTAATAAGACCAGCATTTTAAACATTAGTTTTATGGGAGAATTCTGCCATTTCTACTCAGGACAGTGGAATAGGGGAATATATATATAGATTTAGGTATATATGTATTTATGGATAAACTGTATTTTGAGATTTCTTTTTATTTAATATAATGTATTTCTTTTACGTTTTGGTGGCTAAAACAGAGCTGGTTTTGTTCAGGGGATGGACTGAAGGGTCGAAGAGGGTTGAGTGTTTGCCCCAGGCTGGTTACCATGTTAGGATGGGCCATAGCCGTCCTTGAGCCACGTAAAGCTTCAGGTAGCACAGCCTTGTCAGAAAACACAGACCATCTGGCAACTGCAGCTCGTGCTCTTTGCAGAGAGAGCAAATGGCACGACGGGAGCCCGTGTGCCAAGCTCAGGGACCACGCAGAGCGGTGCCCTGTCCGTCGTTCGGACACACGGAGCGGCCGTAGTGCCACACCACACCCCAGTGACTTAAACATGGCCACATGACCTGCAGTAATCTCCAGCCTGTCGCTGATTTTCTGGATAAGTTCAACGGAAGCTTTGCAAAGAAGCCTGCAGACGGAGGCCTGGGCGCCTGTGCGGTTCGTGGGCAGAGGTGCTGACGGCAGGGAAGGCGAGCCCTTGAGTGCAGCTGTGGGTTTCAGAGCCAATCAAAACTAAATTAGGAAACAAAGATTATTAAAAAGTCTTCTGTGCATGTAATTTTGGCATAATATTATGAGGTGGACATTAAATGTTTCCCTTGGAGACTCTAGGCGTCATTAATGTAGCATGCCTTTAATTACAAGTAGGCTCATATTACTAAAAAAATGGAGAAAATAAAGTACTCTGAGGGGTAGTTAGCAATACCCTCATTATGTTTACTGAAATAATGAAAAGAAGGAGGCGTAATTTTTCTAAATAAAATGTCAGAATTTGAAATGGAAATGGATTTTCTTTAGGAAATTTACTAATGGGTGCCTGCGTTCTTGATGGGCATTTATTCAAGCACCATAGCAGGTCTATTAACGATCATTTGATATTGTGCTGCTTCTAGATAGACTCCTATTAAGAAGAAAAAAACTTTAATTATTGTAAGCATTGTGGATAGAGCATATTTTATTATGTTGAAAGATGGAATTTGTGAAAGTAGCAGAAAGCCTTTGTGTCTTATGATTTTAAGGGAGCCCAGCGGGATGGGGGAGTGGGAACGCATGGTCTCGGGGCTCCCATAACTTACATTTCTGATTTGACATCAGCCTAGGAAAGCCATCTGGTGGCTATCAGGTGGCCTCTGAGAAGTTCATTTGATAAACTCAGTTACGTTTTCAATGACAAGGCATTAATATCAATTTTCCCAAAATGGGAAATGACATTGACTTACATAATGATCGAATAACCTTAAAAATGCACTCTGTTCACATGAAACATAAGTCAATAAAGAAATGAAGTTTTAATAACAGCAACATATTTCATTTGAACTGATTTATCCCTTAATTATGCCAGAATGGAATTTTTAAAAACCTCAGTTCCTTCATTATTAACACTTCATTGTTTTTAGTTCATTATTTAGACTTATTTCTCAGAAAAGTTTAATTTATGTTTGCAGTGAATTAAGTTCCACGGAGATCAATCTTTCTGATATGTCACTGTAGTAAGTATTCCCTGTTGAGGAGCCTACGGTAGCTCCATATTCTCTTGCATCAAGCATGAAGCACTCCACCTGACCTTTAAATCAGTGTGTACAACTTTCTTCCCATTACCACCCGTCAGTGCCCTGGGGCGTGCCCAGGGGATGTAAGGCTAGTAATCTGATTGGAAGGGAACCCTTGGACTTGGCTTGAAGCCGTGTTGGCATAGCAATGCATGGTTGCTGGGAAAGGTTTGGGAGGGAGCTGATGAAGATCATG